ATTGTCACGTGTCGTGAATGTGATCAAGATGGATGAAGAAATCCAAAACCTAAGGTCAGGAGGAAAGTTGGCCAATTATAAAAGCTTAAAGAGAAATCGGATAAAATTAAAATTTAAGGAGAAAATTAGTCAATTATAAAGTTTCGGAAATAATTAGCCAAAATTAAAATTTAAAGAAAAAATTAATAGCTTCGGAAAAGAAAATCGACAAATACCTCTTTATCATTTACCCAAAACAAGAAAATTCACCAAGAATGGCAAGGAAGTGATTTACTGCAAAAAGGGAGGCAATTGTTTAATGGCGCTCTAAAACTGTGACAGAGAGAAAAAGCAAAAGTGAAGAGACTCAACCTGGAAATACAGTGAGAGAGAGAGAGAGACAGAGATCTGAGGTGGGGGACTGAGTCAGGGACCGAGTCGGGTCACATCCTCTCTGTACCGAGTTGAACTTTCAAGGCTAATAATACAGTGTGAACCCAGAAGAAGAAGGGATAAGAAGATCCTGGGTATTAGATTCCACATCTAAAATTCCACTCCAGCCGTTCGATTAACCCCTCCATATCTTCCTCTCTCTCTTCCATCTTTCTCTCTCCTTCTGCAGCTCAATCGATTTCTTGACTTGGCTTGACTTGAAAACCCAATTTCTTGTGTTTTCTCTCAGGTACTTTCTTCTTTTGTTGTTTCTGTTTTGAGAGAGAGAGAGAGAGAGAGTTGTTTTATGTTTGGTTGGTGGGAAAGTTGAGGGGAGTGAAAGAAAATGGGAGGAATGGAAGTGAAATTCTAGGTCTTTTTTAGGTGGGTATTTCGGAAATAATGTGGATAATTAAGTTAGGAATCAGAAAGTTGTGATTTTGAATTTTGGGTTTCAAATTTGAGGCCGCTTGTTCCATCTTTTATTGAGAGAAAGGAGGAAGCAATATATTTTCCGTTTGGTTGCCGGGAAAGTTGAGGGTAGCGAAAGAAAATAAGAAATGGAATTGAAATTCTTGATCTTTTTTAGGTGGGTATTTGTAAGAATGTAGATATAATTAAGTTAGCCATCCGAAAGTTATGTTTTCGAATTTCGTGTATTGGTGCATAAATCTGTGCTTCATTTGTACAAAGGTTTGCTTCTTGTTGTGTGATGGTTTGAGCTAAAAGATAAATCTTTTGTTTGTTCTACAGATTTGAGGCTTTCTGGTAGCTTCTAGGTGCTATGATGGAGCTCAAGATCAACAGGTGTAGTTTGGATTCGGAGATTAAGCTGTGAAAATGCTTAAAGCTTTAGCAATGGTGAGTGAATAACATAGTCTGATTTGATTTTGAAATTATTCAGACTGGGTTCGTATTGAATTGTCGGGCTTGGGAGTTCATGGACCTAAAACACCAGTAAAACAAAAATCTAAACTTGGTAGATTTTGTTGGTGTTAAACCCTAGGCCTGGTTTGTGGTTCTTGGAATGGTGAATTTGAAGTTTTGAGGGCAATTGTTTTGAATTTGAGTTCCGAAAATGAAGAGTGAAAGCAGCAATAGCTTAGGAACTGAGAGAACAGTTAAATCCGTAGAATCAGTGGAAGATTTTTCCAAGTATTCCCACAGTCCAGCTCATTTGGCAGTTGCACGCCGTGACTATGCCACTCTCAAGCGCATTATCTCTACCCTCCCTCGACTTGCCAAGGCCAGTGAAGTAAGCACCGAAGATGAATCTCTTGAGGCTGAGCTCCGAGCTGATGCTGTATCTGCTGTCATTGATCGCAGAGACGTTCCTGGTCGTGAGACTCCTCTTCATCTAGCTGTGCGTCTCCGGGACCCAAGCTCAGCGGAGATTTTGATGGCAGCCGGTGCTGATTGGAGTCTTCAAAATGAGAATGGTTGGAGTGCTCTCCAAGAAGCTGTGTGCACTAGAGAGGAAGCAATTGCTATGATCATTGCACGGCACTACCAGCCCCTTGCTTGGGCTAAATGGTGTCGTAGACTTCCCCGTATTGTTGCCTCTACAGCCCGGATTCGTGATTTTTATATGGAGATAAGTTTTCATTTTGAGAGCTCAGTCATCCCGTTTATTGGTCGAATTGCTCCATCAGATACTTACCGAATTTGGAAGCGTGGTTCTAATCTTCGAGCTGACATGACTCTTGCTGGTTTTGATGGGTTTCGCATTCAAAGGTCTGATCAAACATTTCTGTTTCTTGGAGAGGGCTACTCTTCAGAGGACGGTAATGTGAATTTGGCACCTGGTTCTTTGATTGTTCTTGCTCATAAGGAGAAAGAAATCTCAAATGCTTTGGAAGGAGCTGGTGCCCAACCAACCGAAGCTGAAGTTGCCCATGAAGTGGCCTTGATGTCCCAGACGAATATGTTTAGGCCGGGCGTTGATGTTACTCAGGCCGAGCTTATCCCCCATTTAAATTGGAGGCGACAGGAGAGGACTGAGATGGTTGGAAATTGGAAGGCCAAAGTTTATGATATGCTTCACGTGATGGTGAGTGTGAAGTCAAGGCGGGTTCCAGGTGCTATGACTGATGAGGAACTCTTTGCAGGGGATGATGAAGAAAAGGTGGCAAATGGTGGTGATAATGATGAATACGATGATGTATTGACTGCTGAAGAAAAAAAGCAGTTGGATTCTGCACTTCGTGTGGGGAACTCAGATGGTGCTTGTGAGGACGAGGACAATGGGGTATCCGACTGCCATGAAAAAGGTTCAGGAGGCTCGTATGAGAACTGTGAATCGAACGGTGTTGTTAAGGAGAAGAAGGGTTGGTTTGGTTGGAACAAGAAAAATTCAAGGGGAAACGATGATTCTGAAGATCCAAAGCCTTTGAAGAAGTTCTCAAAGTTGGCCCCAGAAGGTGGCAATCAGAAATCACTTGATCATCAAAAACCATCATCTGAATTCCCTAAAGACGACATTGCAGATGGGAAAAAGGGAAAAGATAAAAGCAGTAAGAAGAAAAAGAAGAAAGGGTCTACTGATTCTAAGCATGAGAGTGAGTACAAAAAGGGTTTGAGGCCTGTCTTGTGGTTGACGCCAGATTTCCCGTTGAAAACAGATGAGCTTCTTCCTTTACTAGACATCTTAGCAAACAAGGTCAAGGCTATAAGGAGACTCCGGGAGCTTTTGACCACTAAATTACCCCCTGGCACCTTTCCTGTTAAGGTAATACGAAAGTTCTAGCTTCATAGACTACTTTTCCACAGTTTGATTGTTTATGCAATTTTGTTGGTTGGTATGGTCATGCTGTCCAGTTGCTATCACCTGATTAAAACATATTTCATAAACAAAATTCAACTTATTTGCCACAATTCCTTGAATTGCTGCGAAATAATTTCTTAATATTTGGTAGATGCGTAACAAGGTTAGAAATATTCTGGGTGAAGTCTGCTGAGTGATTTGTACGGGTTCTTTTTAGAATCTTATTTTTACAAAATTTACATGCGTGTGTTTTTGGTTCTCACTGTTCAGTTTTATCGATTAGTATGGCATCATGTAATTTATAGGTTTACCCTTTGTAGCCCTTCAGCCTCTGTTTTTGAATGTCAACCTAAAGTTGCGTTTCCCTACCGCAGGTTGCTATTCCTATTGTCCCAACAATACGAGTTCTTATAACATTTACCAAATTTGAGGAGCTTCAGCTGGTGGAGGAGTTTTCAACCCCTCTCTCCAGTCCTGCACATTTTCAGGATGCAAAGTCAAAGGACTCAGAAGGATCCTCGTCATGGATGTCATGGGTGAGAGGAAGTCGTGGTGGGCAATCAAGTGACAGCGAAAGCCACCGGTATAAGGATGAAGTTGACCCTTTCCTCATACCGTCAGACTATACCTGGGTTGATGCCAATGAGAAAAAACGCCGCATGAAGGCCAAGAAAGCCAAGAGCAAGAAACACAGGAGACATGCAACAGCCAAGCCTGCCGAAGCAGGACATCGGGCAAGCGAGGATGTCGAAGAATAGTTTGGCATAATTTACTACTGCTCTACCTCTAAGAGGGATTTCGTGGGAGACAAAATGAGGTAAAGCCAGTTCTTGTGTGTTCGTGACCTTCATTCTTCACATTGGATTTTATCACGAAAGTCTTGCCTGATACGTTTTAGGCTCGTAATTGTTGATTTAGAAGAAGAATATATGTATCTTCTTCAATTATTGTATTGTTATGTGCCGTGAAATCTGAGAGGAACTGACTTCTCTTGTTCTAATTTCGAGTTCACATCAATCTTTGTATCTAAGTTGTTTCATTTTTTTTGTGGTTGGTATTTTCTTGTGCTTGTCATTGTAGCCAAGACCATCATCTGTTTCGGTTCTGTATGTTTTGTGCTAAAATATGTATGGAAATGCTTGAACTTTCTCAAGATTCAATAGAAAATATATACATCTCTTTGGAATTGCTTTCAAAAGTTGATGAATACAACAGCAGATAAGACAGAGAGAGGTGAGTCGGAGGAGGGGCCGCCGCGGGCTATTGGTGGCCGGCAGGGTACGGAATTTAGATGAGTGAAAGCTTTAGTAGCCTTCAAACATCTTTGAGGTGGTCGCTCTATGATTTTTCTTAAAGAAAACTACTGAAAAAAGTTTGAAAACTTTAAGTTTTAACGATAAAGACAAAATAAAGGATAAGGTGAATAGTATTAAGATTGATTTTTTAGTATAAAAATGTAGTTTTTCGTTAAAATGAACAGTACTAGAAGTTTTTCGTTAAAGTTCCCTTTTTCTTATGTGTCCGCACAAAATGCAGTGTTTCACATAATAGGAGTGGTACATTGTTCCCTCGAACAACCTTTTTCTCAATGTTCGAGTGGTACAAAGACCCGCTGGCAGCGTACGGAGTTTAGATGTGTGATGCTTTAATAGTCTTCAAACATCTTTCAGGTGGTCGTTCTGCGTTGTTTCTTTGGTGTCTACTAAAAATGCACGATGTGAAACTCTTCGGTGCCTCTACTAAGTGCACAGCGTTTCACATCGTCGGAGTGGTACGTTGTTCCCTCGGAGAACTTTTTCTCGATGCCGAGTGGCACAAACACAAATACAAATGAAAGACGTTGCACGTTAACAGTCCGTCTTCATGGGTCTTTGCTTATCTGAGCATGTACAGGGATTACATGATTTAAGATATGACGATTTTACTGTCGATACATACCGATTTACAGACAACAAAATTGTTGACCTAATGATTTACACATCTATTCGTGTTGCCGGTAGTTTAGACGGATTTTCTACCAGAACCGGTCCTTGTTAACGCTTAAGTATCCGGCCATAACTTTCCCGCCGGTGTTTCTCATTCCATCGATAAGGAAGCACCAAGTTGAACCCAGTGCTCCAATGAAAAAGTCAGCTTCACTTGCCATCAAGAAATTAACAATCGGATAGTTCGTGCTAGTCTCCCTTCCGAGACTCGTTTCATAAGCGGCCATTGTCGAGTTCCCCACTTGACGGGTCACGTTCGTGTAGTAGAAGTCCCAGTGACGGTAACTTTTGGATTTGTCTATCACTTCCTGGAACATTGTTAATGTTAGGTTTGCGCAAGATCGATCACTTCTAAATCTATTCAGAAACATGATGTTAATGCCAGAAAACTAAACCTGCATTTCAGTAGAGAGCCACACACTCTTAAGCTGCGGGAAGCGCCTTCTTATTCGGTCAGCAAGACCCATGTATTCTTCGAATTCCACCACCTTCATTTCGCACGCTTTGTCTCCCATTCTCACGTGCATGCTAAGCAGTGGCTGAGGCATCCACGGCTTGTGACTAGACCAAACAAATTCTTCGATATCGGACCTTGGGTCGATTGTAACATCCTGCAACGAAAGACGTTACAAAGTATAATCGTTTGAGAAGATTCGATTTGCATAATCTCAATATCGCGCGCTGTATATGGTACTACTAATCCGGTGTGCTCCAAACTCGATATATACAAATCGAGACCTCTTTACAATCAGAAGCCATTTTTGTACGAAGACAATCAAGTGAAATTATTTGTTTACCTCTGTCCTGCAAGAAAAACAAGGCAGAAGGGACAAAAGTAACAAACCTTAGGCCATTTTCCGTCAAAACTTCTGATGACCATACGGGCAGCTTCCTTTCCGAATGCAGCATGGCGGGCAACATTCAATAAGCCGCATGTGTACTCCGTTTGAAATCTCATCAAGTATCGAACCGCCTGACATAATGTAACAACTTCCAATCAAATATGGAGCTTGCTTTTCTTTCATGAATATAGCGTACTTGGAAGCAAATATATTTATAGATCTATATAGACTACCTGTGCTCTCCACCACCTCCGGTCCATTTTGCGATGATAAGCAACCAAACTCCCATTTATTTCTGTCGTAGGTTGCAAATGACTCCATGGATCGCCCCATATTCTGCATTAAATATTTGACAAACGACATGAGATAAACAGAAATACATAAGCTGCTAACTATTAGGAGAAGTGAACTGAAAACCAAATGGTTAGAGATGCAAATTATTACTTGGGTGTAGGTCCAACCCATATTTTCTTTGAGTTATAACTTTCTTTTGCTGTAATGGTGCCTTTTTTCCGGGCTTCTTCACTTCCCATAAGCTCAAAAGCACGATTTCGACATTGTATGGATGTTTCTGGAAAGAAGTAGCAAGACCAACTGGAGTGGGACGAACCTGTAACACATGGATCTTATCATCCACACTCGACTATAAGAACAAAAGTCTATTTTGATGTTTCGAACTCCTATATGCAGTTATATAAGAATGAAAATCGTCAAAACAGTTGAGCTGAGATGTAGTGATATTAACCTTTACAACCATCATGGTCAGCTCGATTGTAGTAGTTGGTGACAAGGACCCTGTTTTCATTGATTGCAATAGCTAGAAGCCCACACATTCCGGCGATCTGTGCTCCAATGCCAAATCCTGGTAATCTTTCCCAGTCAGCTACAAGAAATTTTACGCTAGGGTCGCTGCAGTTCAAAGGATGCTGATGCATCCATATGTCTCGTTGCACTTTTCGTGTCAAGGGAAAATTTTCTTCATCGGACCCTGTAATCTGCAGAAGCTTTGCTTATTAGCAAAAGATTGCAAAACACATCATCTTCTTACCTCACTAAGCCACATAAAAATTCAAAATATCATACGAAATAAATAACGATTAAATGCATATGTACATGTATGCAAGATTGCACTGACTTATACATGCTAATCTTTCCAAATTCTTGTTCTACAGGGAGAAAAAGTTATGGGATTTCAAGACCTAGAAACATACCCAGGGAGCGTAGGCACCTTCGGATATATCTTGATGCCTAAAGTATCTCGACTGCTCATTAGTTGCAGCTGCAGGGTACCTGTCCAACAATCCCTTCCAACTTGTCCAAGGAGGATACTTCTCGTTTTCCGCATGCTTATCAAGGCGCTCGTTTACTTGTGCTTTCAACATGCAGTTTTCCAAATGTGGGGCATTTGGAATACTGGATCTGCTTACTCCAAGTCTCTGCAAGAGGTCACTCTCTCCAGAACCTGATTCATTTAGTACAGCACTCCAAGCTGAATACAGTAATGTGACTCTCTCATCATTGATCATTTCTTCACTTCTCAGTGAATCAACTTTTTTCTCTGTTCTGATTTGCCGTTTTGAACTGCAGTTTGTGCCTGCAACCACATCTTCAAATTCAAAACCATAAAGTTAGTCTCTTGCAAATCCTTCTAATTCTTCGGTAAACTACTTGACGAATGCCATTGATTAAAATAACTGTTATTTTTATCTAGACACACGCACACCCGCCTCGACTGAACCTCGAAGTCACGGAGCTGCCATTTCGCATTAAGCGACTGAATTTGTCTAAAAGCTTATGGATGAATTATTAAAGCATATATTCAGGATTCAACTAGCAAGTCTAGTCAAAGTTAAGTATTCAAGTGAAGAAAATGTGTTCATGAAGTTATTATTCTAACTTTAAGTAGCTTTGAATACACCTTTTAATTATTCCCCATCCTGCCTTCTCACCCTGATTCTCCACCCTAGTTTAGTTAATTAAACCTCATTAAAAAGTATATGAACTCCCCGAACTCGCACGGACCTAGACGTAGCCAAGTTGGCTAGAACATTGTGCTCCTCCACCGCACCCAAGTTCAAATACCCTCCTCGTAATTTACATTAAATTAGAATATCGCTCGAATGACTTCTGTACTCAAGTTCAATTATAATCGCTTGTAATGTACATTAAATTAGAATATCGCTCAAATTAAAAACACCAAAGCTCCAAATTATACATCTCAAAATGTAAAGAGAAAAGCAAAAATGACCAAGAAATTGAAGAGTATATGAGGAAATTCGACTCACTGATGAACTCTGAGCTTGAATTCCCAGCTGAAGAACCCTGAGAAATCGACGAAAACGAAAGGCCTCCATACTCAAAAGTACCAAGGGAAGTGAGTGCAGCAAGAAAGAGAGAAGTGAGGCAAACTCCACACAGAAAACCCACCACACAAATTTGACAAGGAAATGAACTCCCCATTTGAAAAGCCTTCTGTGAAACAGCTCTCTCCAGAGACTTCTGATTTGATGGCTCCATTTTTTATTTATTTTCTTCACCTCCAAGGATCAATGAAACCAACAGAAAATCTGAAGCCTTTTCTTTTCACCAGAAATTCATGGGATGCCAACTAACTCTGATTACTGCAATCACATGAAGCAATTTAACTTTTAATTATCTACTTTCTAAAAAACTAAATAAAATTTCTAGTATTGTGTATTGGATTTTCATAAGTAGAAAAGCAGAAGAATTGTCAAATCTCAGCCATCTATTTCCATCACCTCAAAAACTTCGGTGGGGTCCACCTCCATCTTCCTTCCAGCTGCAAAAAAAAAAAATGAAATTCTCCATCAGAGAGTGCAGAAGAACTGTTGCAAGAACCATGCGACAGTCATGGAAGAATGATTTACTGTCAACCAGATAAATTGCAAAATTTACATGAAAATTTAAAAAAATAATAATAATTTTGGTAATCAAACTTTAATTGCTCTGGTTAACAGAAGATTAGTGAAGAGACCCCATAATCCAATGATCCCATTTTTGAAGTAAAAATATTACCTTCAAGAGAAAAAAAAATGTGGAAAAATATTTCACCTGGATTTGAAAAAGAAAAAGAAGCAAAAGGTGGGCAGCAAAATGTCAAAAACCAAAAAAGAGAGCGCATGCAAAGAGAAACATGCCACTGATTCCACAAAAAGAAGAAGCAAACAGCTTGACAGAACACAGATAAGCGTGGCTAAAAGTTGATGCCAGAAACAGCAAATTTGGTGTATTTTTTTTATCTTTAATTAAGAAATAAATATTAGCACCAGAAATTATCCAAAGGGTATCTCAGCAAAACCAAGAGAGGACAGGAACTTTCAGAGAAAGAGAGAGAGAGGGAGAGGCAGAGGGAGAGGGAGGGAGGGACGGAGGGAGGTGTATGTGGCAAGGGAGGAGCTGACCAGGTTGAGAAGCAAACAGACAAATCATCCTCTCTGAACAACCGCAGACATCCACTCGATCTTGTTAAGATTTTTGTGCAGTTAGATGATGGCGCAGAGAGTGTCCTTTTGTATAAGATAGTGGAGAGTGGTGGTTCTCGGAAGAGTGGACACATGGCACGAACCCAATTCATCAAAATACCAAACCCCTTCACTTTTTATGCTGCTTTTTTCTAGTTCTTGGCTAAGCTTTTTGGAATAATGTCACGGGCTATAAATGTTAAATTTTTCAGAATTTTAACAAAAAAAATTTTAATACTGTTAATTTTAACGAAAAATCATGCATTTATACTAAAAAAATTAATCATGATACTATTTATTTTGTTCTTATCATTAAAACTCAAAATTTTCAAACTATTTTCATTAGTTTTCTTTAAATTTTATATATTAAATAGCATAAAAATTAATAATTGAATTATCATTTAAATATTGATTACCGTATTTATTTTTTATCAGACACATTATTTAATTTACAAATTTAAACTATAATTTTGTCTACTAACATTACTTAACTTCTAGTTTGTTGACCAAACACCAACTTCCTCCCCCAAATAAAACTAAACTTCCTCCCCCTAATAAAACTAGGGGATTTGACCAACCTCAATAATTATGAACTCAGTTGAATAAATAGAGTTTTGGAGTGCAAAGTTGGAAATTATGATTAATTAATCCATTATTTAGCTTATTGGTATAGTATGTTCGAGACTTGACACTCACACTTGCTTTTCACTACTTTTAACTATTTTGGTCCTATGAGGCTAACGTAATTGGATCTTTGGCTCAAAAATAAAGATAGGTACTTTTTTTGTCATTAAATTACTATATTATAAATTTTTATTAAGAAAAACTAATGAAAATAGTTTGAAAACTTTGAGTTTTAACGATAAGGACAAAATAAAGGGTAAAGTGAATAATACTGGATTTGATTTTTTAATGTAAAAATATGATTTTTTTTTTTTTTAAAATAAACAGTACCGCGAGCTTTCCATTAAAACTCTCTTTTTATTAAATAGGTGGTTCACCCTTTGAACCCCTCATAAACATTATCACATGAGCAATAGAGCAAAAGAGAGTCGTTCACAGATCTCAACAATATTTAAGAAACAGGATTTGGGCTAAGCTAGCTACACAATAAATTAAATGTAATTAGATATCGAACTGATATTTATGAGAGTCAAATTTGAGAAACATATCACTAAATTAAGAGCAATGATATTCGCACTCATTTTTACATTCCACACACTCTTGTAAATTTTTATCAATTGATCTTTTTCTATTCATTTGGTTCGAATGTTGAAAATTAAAAGAAGTGCATGAAAAGTAAAAATACGTGTGCGAATAGAACCACTCTTAATTAATCGTACGTAGTGCTAGTGATGAAGTTCAACTTATATATGCACACGGTATAATTTTAGGATAGTGTTATCCACGCATTCATTTTTACTTTATGCACACATCTCAATTTTCAGCTGTCAGATCAAATAAATTGAAAAAGATAAAAAAGTTAACAAAGATGTAGAGTTAAAAATAGGTATGTGAATGACACTATTTTAGTTTAATGCTAGTAGGTTGAAGTGGAGTTTGGTGGTGATGGGGTTAAATTGGTAACTTAGCTATCAACTTCCCAATCGTGCATATCTTAGATTGGTAAAAACTTATTTTAATCAAATTGGCGAAGATTAATCAAAGTAATTAGTCATCTAACTAGGGTTTGCAAGTGCAAATTTGTTTATATATAAAATGAAATTCCCAAAATTAACCCAAGTTGATGAGATGCCAATCTGACAGGACGCCACTTGGTAGTTTCTTTTTATCCACGCAGACATTTACAGCTAATACAAGGACCACCATGCATATAATTATCACCTCCTACTTGATAATATATAGCTGAAAAAAATAATCTTTTGTAAGCCGATTCATGAATAATATGTACCAAGTGGCAGATCCGTCGCACTATTTTTTATGTAAGCTTTTGAGGGGTTTTATGTTATAATGTATTTTAATAATTTGAACAGTTTAATTTTTTAGTTTTTCTTCTAAAAAAAATTACTCAGATCTGAAAATGTATGACCGTTGTATTTAAGGGTTTAAGGTTTCTTTATAGAATCGTATTTGTCTATTTTCTTCACTACAAATTAATGTCTTAATGATTTTGGATTTGTCTAAGTTTTTGCAATTATGATCTATGAATGATGTTTCAAAAGATAAATAGTTCGAATTGTTAAAATACACTAAGAGTGAGCCACAAAAAACGTGTGTCAAAAGTTGTGTAAAAAAAACAGTGTCATGCATTTGCCCCATATATATATAGGAAATCTTTAAGGAAATGGATCTCCATTTTTTTATAAAAATGGGGATTAGTTCTGGAGTCCACACTAGATTAAACTTTAACGATCCGAACCGTCTATTTTTCAAGTTGCACCTCATAGATCATCCTTGCAAAATATTAGCTAAATTGGAAATGTTTAAGACATCTAATTGGGTTTAAAGAAATTGATGAATACTTTGTTATATAAGAAACAATAAAATTTTATCTTGATAATTAAATTGGCAAATGGTTTCAGATTTAATTGAATTTGTGCAAGGATGATCTATGAATCAAAACTTACAAAATAAACGATTTGGATCATTAAAGTTTGATGGAATAAGTCCCACACTTAATTTCCATTTTTTGAAAAAATGAGGATCCTCTTGCGTAAAGGGCTTATATATATATATATATATATATATATATATAAGAAGTTATGAACATGGGCTAATGGTGGACATCTCAAAAAAAAAAAAAATGATAGAGAGTTGAGTGCGCTTGTTACAGCTTAGAAGTGACAATATCATGAAAATATTGTAAAGAAAAATCAAATTTAATGTACTCCCTTAAGTGGGAATTATCATAAAAGAGATAGTATAATCATTGTTCTAAAAAATTTCACCTAAAGCCGCATAATATCATTTGTCATAAAAGAGACATGTTACAACCATTGTTCTAAAAAATTTCACCTCGCATCTAGGCAGCGTTAAACGGCTAGTCATTGTCCGGATTAATCCTAAGCGTTGGAAAATTAAGAAAATGCGCCTAGACCTACCTAAGCACCATCACCTAGGTCGCAACTTTCATTTAGACTCAAAATATATAACTTTCATTTTGCATTTTATTTTTTAATAAATTGCAAGAGACTTGTTGAATACTTGGATGAACGCTCACTATATATTTGTTCTCCATGTTTCCAATATGATTTAATACTTTATAAACTATGAATCATTCAATTTTGCAATTTATGTATTTCAATATAATTATATCTTTTTTTTAAGTATAAATGGATATTAATTATATGTTATACAATAATTTGATTATAAAAATAAAATAAAAAATAAAATAAATAAATAAAAAAACCGCCTAACCTCTGCCTAGACACCTAAATGTTAGAGTTTTGTTTGCTACCCAACTAGAGCCTTTTAAAACCTTGGTTATAACAATTGTATTGCATGTCATAGTAGTTGATACATCTATACACGCGAGTGCCTTCTTAGAGATTCTGTTTCGGTATTCGTGGAGAGGGACAAATAATGTTCTTATATTGTTTGTTCATTTTGTGTAGGCAAAAAAAAAAAATTTGAATACTTTGAATATTAAATAAGAAATCTTAACGAAATATTTTTGATAAGGTTCATTTTTAACGTTAAGGATATTTTTTACTCAAAAAAAAGTCACTTCTGGTACTATTCACTTATACCTTTATTTTGTTATTTTTATTAAAAACTAAATTTTTTGAAAATTTTTCGTTAAAATTTTTTAATTAAATAATCCGTATGTGATCAAGAAACTGTCAATATAAGATCGAAAATTATTGCATCCCTCTTCATGAGCAGTGAAATGAAAACCTTGTATGAAACTGGTACTATAAAAACACCAACCGAGAGACCATGTTATCTGTGGCATTCGAAGACCCACATTTTGTGGTATTCGACCCACATGCTTCAAGACAACAACATTTTGTGAATATTTCGTTTTCTGAAAACAACATATTGGTCACGAGTTACGAAAGGGCTATGTCTAGTCGTTGTCACAGTGATGGAAATTTTTAGATAAATAATTATTTATTTATGCTTGGTAAGGTTCAATTTTGGTGGCTTATGGACGTGGTCCACTAAATTAATTGTTCGATTTAATAAGGAAGTTTGAGAGGACAGCACTTATCATACACTATACAAGTTCCACTAATCAAATAAATTGCTTTTCATTCAAAATAAGAAAAACTAATCAGCATGATTTGAAAACTTTAAGTTTTAACGATAAAGATAAAAAAAATAAATAAATAAATGGTACTGGAATTGACTTTTTAGTGTAAAAATATGATTTTTCGTTAAAGTGAACAGTACTGTAAGTTTTTTGTTAATCAAAATAATCTATAAGATTCATATAACTATTCATTTTAATTTTTGAGATTTAAGATCGATAAAAATTGTCCATGAGATTATCCAACGTTAATCATTTTGATCATTTAGTAAAAAAATTTCACTCAATTGAAAAACACCAATTCGAGCCTCATTTTAAAAGAGTTACTTTAATATTTCTCGAACTAAGAACATATTTCAAGAGTAAAATAGGCACAAAAATCAACGTCTCCATCCTAATAGGACAATAAACTACTAACACATCAAAATGAACATACCTTGTGAAGGATAAAAAGGAGGATGACTATGAATTGTAAACCAATGGTTTGAGATTTTATGTGAGATAAATTAGGGTGAAAGATATAGAGGAAGAGAGATGGGTGGGTTTTAAATGTTTGGTTTTTGTGAAAGATATAGGTCAGCCACCACCGCAAGGTTATAAGGATCGTTCTCTTCGTCAGACTAAGGTTTAAGTTTGAGTTTTGCTGTCAGTAATCTCTCTTAATTAGTTATCTGTAGTAAAATCCAAAAAAGAGCTAAGACCCCCGATAAGTTCTCAAACAAACTTGTGGTATACTCTGACCCTATGATGGTGTAGCCTCCCCTCCCCTGAACTTTTGATCACCAAAAAAATATATATATCAACACTAACAAATGATTGTTTTCCCTACACATACAAAATTTCTCTAGATGGAGAGGAGAAAGAGGATCCGATCTTGGGCTGGGTCACTATCATTTTAGTGGATTCTCATCCCACCCAAACCAACTTCCACTAAAAGAAGCCCAAAGACAAAATCTCAACGGTCATATTTTCAAGCTTTCAGATTCTTCGTCTTCGAACCCTATTGACCCTTGTGTCTTCAGTCCTCTCTCTCTCTCTCTCTCTCTCTTCCAGAGTAAAAGGCATCCGAAAGAAGTCAGCTGTAAAAGTCGACAATCATTCATGGGGTGCTTTCCAAAGTGCTTCTCTACTTGTAAGCGCCGAAAGCTCAAAAGTTCAGTCACTGTAACTCCCTTTAAGCACCATGTAAGCCCACAAAGGTTTTTTTTTTTTTTTTTTTCCTGTGATTTTTACTGCCATTTCCATTTTGTTACTTTTGATTTTTACCCGTCGGAGATTAACTTGTCACAGAGCATTGAAGTTGCTGAAGAAGCTCTTCAAATCCAACCTGCTGAAGCTGAACCCACAAAGCTAGAAGAGCTTATAAAAGCCATTAAACACAGCAAAGAATCAGAGTAAGAAATCCATTGTCAAAGCTTGGATCTTGATTTTGTTTCGTTTTTCGGAGAATCCGCTTCGTTGGATTTACGGGTTTTGTGTTGTTTATAATTTATGTTTGTTCATTGATGTGTGTGATTAGAGAGAAGAGTGAAGAACAATCAAAGAATGGTGATATAAAGACAGTCACATTTGATTTGAATGTCGCGGCAAATGATGAAGAAACACCCACCAAGGAAGAACTCTCCAATGTATTGGTGGAAATCTGTGATGAGAAGGAGAATGAAGAGGAGACGAGAAAGGGGATCGAACCGAATTCGATTGTATCAAGTGTGGTATCACCATCATCTCATCCGTTGAATCATCGTTACGAAAAGTGCGAAAACAGTGAGGATGAAGATGATGATTGTGCTAACGCTGATGAGTTTGAGAGTAGTAAGCAAATCTTTGTTGAAGAAGAGTCTTCCGAGTCCTTGTTTTCGTTATCGATTGATTCTCGAAGACATGAAGTTTGTGATGATTCTGGAACAGAAGAGAAGGAGGTAAACAGTCCAATGCCAAAGCAGCAAAATGGAAGAAGAGATTACGGGAGGCAGAGTTTTCAGGGAGTGTTGACCCCCGTTGAAAATCTTGGTCAATGGAAGGAGGAGATCAAAGAAAAGTCAACTCCAACAGAAGCTCCAAAGCAGCAGCACAAAGAGAAGGAGAACATAAACATGGAGGTGGAGGTGGAGGTGGAGGAGGAGCAAGATTTGAAATTACCCTTTAGTCCGGAGCCTGCTTTGAAGCAGTCGAAACTCGGCACAAGGCCGAGGACAGAGTCGTCTTCTTGCATCGACACGAGCCCTTCGAGCTGGCTGGCTGAGTCTGAGACAACACCAATGTCAAATCCTAGTAGCAATAATTCCGTGGGGAACATGTTTAATGCACCCGGAAGCCGTGAAGATAGGCCAATCCTGGGAGCTTGGACAGCTGAGGAGCTTAAGCAGCTGTCGGCTTCTTCTACTCCGAAAAAGGTCACGAAGCCCGAGTCCAGAGGAAATGCCGATCATAGGAACTGTTGGGAGCTGCAGAGGAATGGCCAAACCAGTATGGGAAAACAGACAGGTAAGAGATTGAATTGATGTTTCTGTTTGTTCAAGCGATAAATTTCTAATCTGTTCTAAACTACGAGAAGGAGATCTGAACTTTGACGAGAAGGGGAATCGAACTTTTGACAAAATACTGTTTGGTTGTGCAGGATCAGAAAGTGTCATGGAAGTCCACTCCATTTGAGGCAAACTTGGGAAGAACTCTGGACATGAAGTTTTGAAATTTGAAAACAAATGTTAGTGTATGTTTTGATTCACGTAGTTATGTTATTTTTCTAATTGTATCGTCACATAAATCTGTTGTATTATTATCGTACGTATAGTATTATTCAACAACAAATAATCAAATACAACATTCTTCATTTCCTTTCCCTGATTACTACGAAACCCCCACAGGACAATACAACATTTATTTGTTTCGCCGGTCCTCACCGTGCAAGCTTATCCAGCATCCCTGCTTCGAAATGGGAAATGAATTATTTTCTCCTTTGACGTATCCAGCTGGTTTTTCTACACGTCGTGAAAGAGTCTCCTTATCTGGTCGACAGTAGTAGGCATCAATGTGATCGGACATCTCTTATACTGTGTCAACAACGAGACATAAAAAGATAATCGGTTACATAAGATGCAAAATATTCACAAGACAGTTTTTTCTTCCCCTGATTGGGATATATGCAGAAATGTTGATGTACTCAACAGTATGCAAGATGCCGAGATCAACCTATACGCTTAGCTCCAAAGGAGATTTAATCTCTTCTTTTTTGCCATTAACCGTGATCAATTAAAAGTGGGAAGTCCGAGGATATGCACATTATAGACTTGCCAACAGATATGAGATGTGTGTTTATCTATTTATAAAGCTAACAGCACCTGGAGAGCCTCACCTGAGAAACATACTTGAAGATGCAGGCATAGCAGAAGACAAACCCGGAAACTGTAATTACAGATGGATTTGCACGCCTCTGTGAGCAGAGAGGACAAAGAGCTCTATCGGGTGGCAGTGGAATCCCCTCCTTGGCAACCTGTTTATAATGATAGATTAGACTTGATTATTTAAGCAACATGCCAAGACCTTGATCGATTGGAAGTGCCATTACAGTCTAAGAACATGATTACATCTGATTTCTTTGAACTTTACCTGCGGAGGTGGAGGTGGAGGAGGTGGAGGGTATATGGTTGGAGCTGACATTCTCTCTTCAGCAGATTGGTACCACCATTCCATCATCTATCAGTATAATTCAATACAAGTTAAGTTATGATGGCAATCCATGCTAGGAGAAAAAGAAAATGACAAAAACGATAAAAATGAAAGGTCAGACGTCTGATTCAGCTCGAAATGAAAAGCGAAAAAATGGTTTTGAGGTATCGATACTTGTTGACATTAAAAGCAGGATCTTCAAAACTCATATATTCTTTATCCTGTTGTCACTTTGTTCATCTACATTCATGTTTAAAGTGTCCACCTCAATCTCCTTTCTCTTTTTATCCTTTTCTCCTCCAGGACATGTCCCATTTCTGCTCAACCTCCAACTTTCTTACAGTTCTTAGCTATGGTTAGACTAGCTGTCTAACATTAAAAAATATGTGATTATAAAAGATTACGAAAAGAAGTCATACTCAAATTCAAGATTATTTATGCTTGCTCCAGAAACATAAATACCATTGTGGAAGCTAGTAAGGTTAGCCACACTTACTTTAAAAAAGAAAACCGCTGCAATTAACCCAGTCTGTGCATAATCAAGCACGGTGTATGTACCGCTGAGCAATGCTCCTTGTAATGCCTGTAGGTAAATTGTCAGACAAAGAGAACCAGCTCAAGTCAGTACAAATATAACTCCTTCCTCATAATTTTTAAATAGTTTTATATAGATTCCTTTTTTACTCGTGGAGTATCACTAATCAAACCAAATTATATAGCAGACGTGCATATGCAAGGCAAATTACTATCTTATGTTTCAAATCAATATGACTAAGAATCAAACTAAACAGATGAAGTTATACCTTCAACCATGGAGGGCCACGAAGTCTCTCACGTTCACGGGTTCTTGTTTTTGAAATTCTAGAAGAAGTATCCATCTACCTTGACACCAAAAAACTGTATTTCAACTACTGAATTATATGTACAGAAAAAAGATGCCATGAGTCATGACCAGGTCTACTATCAAAAGTCCTTTTGTCACTCACATAAATATAACATTCACCTGATAAAAGTATAAAGAAACACAAAACCCCCCAACTAAATGCACTAAAAATATAAAAAAGATAAATACAAGGGATCCAAAAGAAAACTTTGCCACACTATACCAGTTCTTGCCCTGTAGCTCGACAGACATGAATCCCAAGCGCATGTAATCCTAAGGAATAGAATCCAGTTGCATCCAACAAGTATAACATCTGATAAGCGAACGAAAATCCTGCATCATCAATTCTTGGTTAAAATGTATTATCTAACCAGAGGTACGGTGACAGTTAACACAGATAAAGGAGTTACGGTACTTCTCAACAGACATCACCATATAAATTCACCAAGAAGATGTAACATCACACATTGGAAACACTACACAGAACACTATACATCATGGGGACTGTAGATAAATATCTTCCATTACATTAAAGATTAACGATCATGTCAACACGACCCTTTGTATAAGAAAAAGTATGCAAGTAGTAATCTTCTGAATAATTATTTATATAATTACACAAATTAAGTTACTTGCTTCAGTTTCTACTATTGTTTTATGCATGGCACGTGTATCCTCACAAATATACGCGAAAAAAGAAAAAATCAGATCCAGAAAAGTAAAATGGTCATTCTTTGCAAATATAGCCAAAGCTAGAAAGATGCACACACCTTCACTACTAGCATGCAGCAATGGGTAGCAAGCACCTATAAACTTCTGGATCTTTTTGGTCAAACGCGTCCTAACTGATACGACCATATCTGAAGTTCCCCGTGAAACAACAACATCTTCTCCTCTATCAATTATGTCAGCATCATCAAATCTTTCATCTACATGTCCCCATAAACTCGCTTGAAGTCTGGCTTCCCTTTCTCTATTGTAGATTGAATGCAGTTTTGACTTAAAGTAAGGCAACACAACCTGATACATATTGGTTCACAAATCATTACTCCTTCATATAGCAAGAGCTGAAAGAGAAGAAACCGACATAGCACTATGTTGAAAAAAAATTGGATGATTTCGGATTGATGAAGTTCGAAACGGAAACTTTTAAAATAATCTCACATGTTCCACCATCCTAAAACATTTCTTTCCTTTTGAGCGGTTTATCTATTGCCACTCAGAAAGAGTGTCATTGCTACAAACGATAAGCAACCTACATGTCCAAAAGTTATAACTTTTTACACCCATCAATCATCAATCACTCCAGTAAGACTAAAAACGTTCCTGAAACTATTTCATCAGACAATGGCGCAACCAAAAACGAAACTTTTCAATCAAATTGATAAACAGAATGAAGGAGCAGAGGAAAGACGGTACCAAAAACACAACCGAAAGAAGTCTCTGGCGCTTCTCTAAGCCAGAATGCTGAATGTCATCACCTGGGTTCAGTCGAGCATCATCATTCCTCATAGCTTTTATCTTCACAGCCCTCCTTCTCAACCCGTACAACGATTCCGAAAACGAAGCATCTGCAGCAGAAAACAAACAGGACCCAGAAAACAAAACCAAATTATTAAACAAATTAAGTAACAACAGAACAGAACAGCCATTGATCTATTCATGAAGAATCGGAATTCCGAAAACGTGCCTGTAGTTCGTAAGCTGTGAGTTTCGAGGACCAGCATGAGCAAGGAGAAGAACTCGTCCTCGTAGTCGAGAACCCTGTGGAGGAAGGGTCTTCGTAAAGCTAATACCTGTGGTTTTGTTGAATTAATTCGACTTTAATTTAATTTACAGAAGGTAAAAAGATCAAATTTTTGAAGGTTCTCAAGAAAAAACCAATCGAATTTCAGAGAAAGGAAGAAATGAACTTACGCCGATGGAATAGGTGAGGGCGGCGCGGAGACTGGCGGGGAGCTGCTGAGCCGCCGCCATCTCGAAGAACGTGGGGCGAGTCCCTTGGCCTCCCACCTGAAACAACATCTTCTTCCTTCTCTCTCCTTGGTGTTTTCTGAGCTTTAATTTGCTGGGATGTTGCTGCAGAGGAGGAGGAGGAGAAACTAGAGTAAAACACTTTGCTTTCGCTGTGGAAATTTGACAGTTTGGAAGGGACAAATTTGTCCAACTACAGAAGCATGCCAACGCCACTCGATTTGTGCTATATGACGTTACTTTACTTACGACACACTTTTGGCTAATTTATGTCCTTTAATATTTTTTTTAATTTATCCAACTCGACAATTAAACAATAAAAGATATGTGTAAAAGATAAAAGAGGCATGTAAATATCACCAACTAGAAAAAAATTAAACCAAAAATGGTAAGCCCAAACAAAAGATAATGTATCATCATTATTATACTGTTAATATGTTGTAGATACATTGTTACGTCTCGACTTGTTAGCCCTCGAGTACTTTCTCAAAAAGCGTTTGACTGCTTGATAAAATGTTCAATATGTTTATAAGAAGTTTATATTTAGTTGTGACCTATTCTCTTTTCCCAAACCCCACTTTATCTCTTTGACACTCTGTATTGTCTCACTTTATCTATTTCTGTCAATTAACTTGAGAAACTCGTGAGTCATACAGATGTGGTATGAACAATGTAGTCTCTTCAACTACATTGGTTGTGTGACATGTGACATGTCATGTTAGTTGGACATGTGCGGTGAGCTTAACTGTTGAATTAAGATCTTAATCCAATCATAGATGGTCATTTGACTTTTTCGTTGTACTTTATCTCCGCCGTTTTATGAATTGAGATTGAACTGAACAGTGAGTGACCACAATTTCCTTTAAACTCTAGGGTCTAAGAGATCGGGACTCTAGTTACTACGCACACACATGATACTAATAACATAGTTAAGAAAAGAAAAACATGATTAACTATGAACAATATTAAATCTGAGAATCATAAGCATAAAAAGTAAACTCATCATTCTAGGTGGCGACATTTCTCATTTCAGAACCCATCCCTAGTCAAAGAATGCTAATCAAGAAACTCATAGACTACAGTTTTATTTTTTTGGTCACCCATGAACCAAAGTTTCAGCGACCAAAACTAGAACCTTCAAACTCCAAACATTTCTTGATTCCGGTCAGCTTGGTTCGCCCTACAGTATATACTCGTATGGTCCTTATCGAAGCTTACTTCGAGACAAATCCTAAGAATACTACTATTTTTATCCATTCCTGGCTCGTTTTGTGGGCGGAGCACCAGACTCGACGCCATCTGGATCCTCGGGACATTCAGGTTCTTGTGCCTCCCGACTTGCATCTTGTGTACCATCTTCTAAGGGGATGCTGATCACTGTTTTATCATGCTGATGTGTAGAGGTTTCTTGTTTATCCCCTCCAGTGGAAGGACACGCAATGTCTGATAGCGGAGTAGGGTGGTCATCCACGGTGGATGATCCGGACTTGACCCTGTTGTCTTCTATTTTTCTCTGTTGCTCAAACATCTTCTCAAGGTACTTCCCTTGTTGTTCAATTTTCAACTGCAGCTTTCTTTGGTTCTGCAAAATTTAACCATAACATCAGAACATGTGAAAACCCAATATCAACTCTCTTCTTCTCCCGCCCTGTGTGCTTATGTTTCTGTATCCACATCTCGACAGTAGTAGAGTCAATTAAGTACCCAGTTACCAACAAGCAAAGTTTGTCATAAATTCTAAACATAAAGTACAAAAGGCAATCCAAGTCTTCCAACTGCATACCTCAAGTTGTTCATGAAGCCGCTTCTGGAGTTCCACCTGCAACCGCAATGCTTCAGTAATACCCATGCTCCTGCAAGAGGTACACATAAGAACTTTCAGCCTGATTTCAACTCTAAGGACCATTTAAAAATGGCAAACTGTATCAACTAACAAGTAACTAAAACTGAATTTGGTCCCACAAGTAAACAGATCGCCTCATAACCATTTAACATTCAAAGTTCAATTGCTTAATGTATGAAACTTTTCTGGGGATGAAGAAAATACATGAAACCTGATAACAAAGCATATAAAACTAGAGAAGATGAAAGAGGAAGAAAACAAAAGAGAGTGCATATTCTTCAATATTTTGGGTGAACGAAAAGCACATACCCTTTCACGTCTAGAGGATTTGTTTCTTCCACTGGAGTTGAAACTTTCTCACATGGTACTGGCATAAAAATAAAATAGAATAATTCACTCACAATTCAAATGCTAAATTCTTTTAGAAATGGATTTCTACATACATAACACACACAGTGCATTTCTTTTTCCGAAAAGAGATAATTATAAAGAAATAAGACGTATATTTCATACCATAACACAAAGACATAGGATATGAGGGGAAGAAAAAAATATATTTGAAAGCAGTTTAACATTGCTAAGAGTTTGAATAAAAGTTAAACATGTAGCAGCATGGTTGTTCATCAATCAGGAACGAAAACATTTTTATATATGAAATCTGGTAAACAATAGGTATCAAAGATGTTTTCAAGCCAATCATCAGAGAAATAATAAAAAAGAAGGTAATGTTTACCTTCTGATGACTCCGGTTTGTATCTTGCTGTTCTATATTTCTGAAATTTGAATAAAAAAAAGAAAAAAAGTCCATCGAAATGAATAACACTTTGTTATAAGGAACTAATCGAGGATAGAAATAAATTCATATACCTGTAAATGGCTTTTTACATGATAGATTGTCAATCCTTCAACTTTCATGAGGTTTACAATACCCTTAGGAGTGGCTCCTGTTTGTTAGTTATTAGTCAATGAGAAAATAAGTCATTTCTGAACATATAGAAACGAAGAGCTATAACAGTATGGCAAGAGAACAAAATATGAAAGCAAGTGTTACCCACGTTCACTACCACCAAGGTGGTTGACAGCTTCCACAAAGGCCTCATGAAGTTCTTGAGTCCAACGCATTCTGGATTTCGTTGGAGGAGCACTGGACAATGGTTCAGGACTAGGACGAAAGTCTACAGCTTGCACCGACTGATGCTGTTGAATCTGGGGCTGATGTTGTTGAATCTGGAGCTGATATTGTTGCATCTGGGGAGGATGTTGTTGAATCTGGGGCTGCTGCACTTCGATATCAGAATATGGTTAATACATGTCAATTAAGGTCACAAATACTGTTGACTGGACAAAAAAATGTTCTCAATGCAGTCTCGAAAAATAGAAATACCACATATTATTCGCCAAAGAATAGAAGAGCCGTGAAATTATAAAACTTGGCTCTATTGGGAATATTGACTGTAATTATCCAACAGAAACTTTAAAAGTATTAAAGACACACCTTCGGTTTAGGATCCATTCTATCAACATCAACCGGAAGCTCCCAATTTGGGTCCAGAGCGTCATCAAATGAAATTAATGGATCCCAATCAGACCAATTGGTCTTTCCAGCATGTTCCTCAGATGTTATGACACCGGCACTACTATCCACCAGGCCATTCTGGTCAGGGACACTTTCAGAGAAGTGAAGAAAATCCTGAAGTGAATCTGGGCACCAAGAAATATCTTTATTTTCTTCAGGGTAATTAATCAAAGCTGTCGGTTGCACTTCTAAATGGGGAGAATGGGAAGAACGGTGCAGTGACAATGACTTTCCGTCAACTGGTGATTTACAAATGAAAGGAGAGTTTTGGGAACGCTGTTCACAAGGGGGAACTGAAGAAATATGAATCTCATTGGGCCTAGAAGCTGATGGAAATAAGTTCCCAGGGGAAGAAGCCTGCAGTTGCATAGAGTATATACTCTTCTCCCCTTGTGATGAAACCTGAAAAGAATCCGGCAAATTGGAATATTTGTCGTCTAGGGGGGTATGGAGACGCGGAAATGATGAAGACATAGCTTTGGAAGCCCCAAATTCACTCATCTGGTTCGCATCTGATTTTTAAATAAATAGAGCAGGGTGCATGCTCGTTATATTAAGTGTGCCAACTAGTGTCTTCTTAGCCACTCCCGCTAGTGTCTTCTTCACAACTAGTGTCTTTATTCTTCATTGCCAACATTATAGGAACATCATGTGCACATCATGTGCACATAAGAAGAACTTCGAGCCCATTCAGCTTAATGTTCACATTCACTATCGTTCGATGAACTGACAGCTGGTATCTGTTAGAATAAAATAACAAAAAGAAGGATTCTGGTTAAAGTACACAACATATCTGAAAAAACTATCTTGCACAAACTTCATGCCTAAAAGTAAAACACATGAACTTATTATTTAAGTATTCGCCATTGCAAGAACATTAAACTTTCTAGTTTTTATCAACGTATTTCTATTTATAAAGCTAGAAAAATGGTCTGGTTATTATTCAAGGAAGTTTCATACAAAAGATAAAAACATTAGAAGGGAAGAAAAAATAATGCACATCTCAGAATTTCAGGGTTTAATCCAGAGCAAGATGAAAAAAAAAACCCAACTGAGATTAGGAAAAAGTAGGAAATTGGTTACAACCGAAGAAAAGAAAAACTAGGAACTTGCAACAAAGAGTAAAAGATAACCATCAACGAGGAATTAAGAGTACGCTCATGGAGCATCCAGAATACATATAGATTGTCAATAACCATTCTGAAATCTTCTACCTTGGCTTTCTTTCTTATCTATTAAGTATTAACGACTCTTATAATTTTTTTTTTGGCAATTAATCTGATGAGCCTAACACAATTTCTCAAATAAAGAAAATCCACCTAGCTACAGATTTCAATAACTTCATGAACTTTGCAGTATCACAAAAGTTGCTTATTATAATGTTTCGAACAAAAAAAACCAAAAGTTCTTGAAAGGAGAAGGCTGTAATTGAAGTACTAGTGTCAGGATACTAGGAATATTAGTACATCTTTCAACCAGATGAGTTGGCACTGAGGATCAACTCATAGTGATATAACAATGAGTGTCATATGTCACCACAGATGGAGCGTTGACACATTAACAACACAAATTCCAGCACAATAACACACATTAATAGCACTCGTTTCTCTGTGCATGACGGTGAACATTCTAGGGAAATAAATGGACTCAACAATGTGAACACCGTTGCAATTTTTTTACATAAGAAGCGCATTGAAAATTATAGGAAGCACAAAGTTAATTCGCCCGCCCACCCGCCTATATAAACGTTCTTATGCAGACACCATATGTGAGTATTTTCTTGTAGCAAACTGATGGGAGATAGATGCTTAGCCAAAAGTGGTATAAACAAAAGTCAAGCAGTTTCTAAAAAAAAACAAAAGTCAAGCCACAAAGGTTGAGCATCTGTAACCCATATTTCCTTTTTAATTACATATCAAATCATTAAAAGCAAAGCTAAGATTTTGTATGAGAGTTTGAAAAGCAAGCTGAAATTAACTTTTCCAGAAAGCTTTTGATATATTCAACCATCCAATCCAAATTCCAAACAATAAACTCCCACTTAGAATCGTAAACACATCACTAATCACAAATTAAATTATCAAATATATGATCAAAATTACTGACAACCCAGCAGATTATACAACAAACAGAAGATTAGCAGCACAATAATTTCAGATTATTTCAAAGAATATGAACACTGAAATGGAGATATCAAACTATACAGAAAATACTATCTATAAATTTAATTTGCATGTTTTTTTTTAAAAAAGAAGGAAACTTCAAAGGGGATTTACCAATCTTACCCAAGAGTGAGAAAAACTGAGAACTGAACCCCAAAGGCTGGAACTTCGAATCAAAAGCCCAAAGCTTTGAGGTTTCCGCTCCAGAAAAAAGCACCAAGGAAAAAGCACTTCTGTGAAAGATTCTGGTGGACACAAAGATGGCTGTGTTCTCTCCTTGACTTGGTCTCTCACAAGTCACAACACAAGTACAACTCTCTCTCTCTCTCTCTCTCTCTCCCTCCCTCCCTCCTCACAAGAAAGAGAGAAGTGTTTGCCTTGTTTTGTCTCTCCTTTCTTTTTGTGATGACTCGGAAAAACGATAGGCTGCCACCAGAAAATATTGATCTTAGATTATGGCCGTTGGATGCCCTAGAGGAGGTGACACTGTGTGACTGACACCGTGAGTTTTATTATTAATTTGTGCTTTTTTTTCGTGTTTTTGTTCGATTTTTGCTCATTTATCGACTCTACTTTATAGGTGGGTTCAAAAAACCGACAACTGAACCGGACCGAGGCCGAAAAAAACCGAACCGCAAAAAAATCGAACCGAAATTGTCAAACCGAATCTGACCAGTTCGGTTTCGGTTTTTGAGCCTCGGAAATCGAACCGAACCGAATCGATATATATATATATAATTTTTTTGAATATTTATAAATAGTTTAGTCAAACAATCATAACAAAACAGAACCTGTTGCCAAGTTGGTTTCAGTGAAACTTTACAAGCTGGAGGCATGGGTTCGAACCCTTATGCCTCCACGATTTGTGAGATTATTTTTAATTTTTTAATCTTTGTAACAAAACCCTTAACTGTGACGCCGCCGGTGTAAGTTGTTGTAAACTTGCAACCCTAACCCTCCTCTTCTCTCTAGACTCTCGTTCCCTCCCTTCCCTGCCTTCAGTTCTTCTTCTTCAGTTCAGAGTTCGTTCGTAGTCTCGCGCAGCCTGAGGCCCTGAGCCTCCTCTCTCTCTCTCGCTCTGTCTCTCAGGCGACTCGCGTCGTCAGTCTCTCTCTCTCATCTCGCCGTCAGATTTTTCTTGCCGTTTTCAAGTCTCGACAGTCGACAGCAAAAGGTTAGCCTCGTCTCTCTCTCTCTCGGTCTTCAAGACTTCAACTTCAATCACTCTCTGTCTCTCTCAAACTCTCTGTCTCTCTCAGTCTTGAATAGTTGAATCCCAGGCGACCACGAGTTCACGACCGGCGGACCTTTCTCACTCTCAAATTGTCTCAATCTCTCACACGGTCACACCTTGCCCTCGCCGCCAGCGCCAGTCTTTGATCTCGCCGTGAGCTTCTTCTTGCCGTGTCGACTTCGAGTCTCGAGACTGCAAAAGGTTGGTCTCATTATCATACTGACTCTCATATCTGGGCTTCTGCTTCTGCTTGACTGCTTCTGCTTACCGATTTTGGCCTTCTGGGCTTTTGCTTATGCTTCTGCTTCTGCTTACCAAATTACCAGTCATTAAAATTGCATGCAGAATCAGAATTCAGAAATTGTAAATTTGTAATATTTGATTAATTATTCTTTGTTGTGAATCGTGAATTCGTGATTGAAGATTTTGATGGTTTTCTGGGATTTTGACTTTTGAGAACCTGTTGGTTTTGGTTATACTGTAATATTCGATTTCTGAATTCGTAATATTCGATTTTGAGAACCTGTTGGTTATACTGGGATTTTGAGAACCTGTTGGTTATTTCCTTGTTGGTTTTGAGAACCTTTCAGAAATTGTAATTTGTAATATTCGATTTCGATATGTTGGTTTTGAGAACCTTTAAGAAATTGTAATTGGTTTGGTTATACATGTTGAGAACCTGTTGCCAGTTCCAGTAGCCTGTTGGTTTTGAGAACCTGTTGCCAGTTGCCTGTTGGTTTTGAAAACTTTTGAGAACCTTTCAGAAATTGTAAATGTAATTGGTTATTTATACATGTTGATTTTGATTTGATAATTGATAAAGACTTTAACATCAGAATGAATGTTGTAAAACTGTGCTTGTTGTCAATATGGACAACAATTTGGGATAAACTAAGTCAGAATGAATTTGGGACAGCAATTTTAGTTGAATTACTTGAAGAATATATGTTTCTGTATTTGATATATGCTTGATTTCAACAAACTAAGTGGATTAATGTTTCTGTGGAGAGTGAGTGAGACTGACGACGCGAGTCCACTGCCCATTGGCTTTTACAAAGTCCACTGGATTTTACATGTTTCTGTATTATATGTTTCTCAGTTTCTGTATTTGAATACATATAAGTTTTGGATTTTACAAAATGATGAAATTCCAAATTCCAAATGTAAACTATAAGTTTTGAATACATATAAGTTTTGTATTATATGTTTCTCAGTTTCTGTATTATATGTTTTCATATACTTTTTTTAAGCTACTTGGAGAAAGAAAGAAAGAAAGAAAGAAAGAAAGAAAGAAAGAAAGAAAGAAAGAAAAAAAGAAAAAAAAAAACCGAACCGGGCCGAAACCGAACCGAGAAAACCGAACCGAATACAAACCGAACCGAACCCAAACCGATAGAAAACCGAACTGAACCGAACCGAACCGAACCGAACAGTAATTTCGGTTCGATTTCCGGTTTTCGCAAAAAACTGAACCGAACGGAACCGAACCCACCCCTACTCTACTCTAATTCTTGAATAAAAACTTTAATTTAAGTTTTAATCCATAAATAATTTTTTTGCTCCAAATAATTTAAATTTTAGTTCATAATTATTAAAAATTTTAATTTTGACTAATTTTTTTAAGGTAACTTTTTATAAAAAAAAAAAATTATGTTCACTATCTAAACTTAATTTTATAGAGTTTTAATCTAAAAATATTTAGATTCCGATAAATATCGAAAAATCACGAAATCTGACACTTATTAATTACATAAAATTAATTAGTAAAGCATAATTACTAAACCATAACTTTTAGCTTTAGAAAATATTTTACGTGGGAATTAACGAAAATGTTCATTGGATGTGATTTTATCCTTTATTAAGCCCCAAAACTATTTCTCATTAATTTTTTTAAAGTTGAAAAAGAGAAAAAAAAAATTGAAAACTAATAGTGGGGCCTCCCAAAGAGATTTGTAGGTGTCCAAAATCTTGGAAATGTGCTAAATTAATTTTAGGAAACATGTGGTGAGAGTAAAATGACTATAACTTTGGCTTATAACAAATAATATAAATGTCACAGCTCGTCCCAAATTGTTATGATTTTACAAATTTTAAAAGCGTGATTTTACGAAAACACCCTAGAGGTAAAGGGTTTTTGGCTTTCGTTGATCAATGTATAGTAAGAAGTACGGAATTCTTTTAGCGTATTGCTGAAGTATTCGACGATACGAGCTCGTAGGAGCAA